CCTACCCAAAAGTGCAGTTTGCAGGTTTTTCATAATGTACACACTTTCATGTATCCCCTTTTCTCCTTTTCTCATTGGCACGGCGGCCAGGTATCGGTCCACACACGTCAACATGTGGACGAGCACATCTGCGATGCTTGTGAAGTTAGACAGCAGCAGGCCGCCCACTATTACGTCATCGCGATTGATGCAGACGGCACAGAAACTCAAGATGCATCCGGCGACTCCGCTCAGCTCCATCGCCGCCAGGTGGTACGTGAAGACGTCAGAGTGGCTCGTCGACGCCGATGAGAAGGTGGACGGCTTTTTCTTCCACTGCTGGAGTCCGTGGCGGAGGACGAGGACGCAGAGCGGGAGGAGCGAGGAGACGTAGGCGACGTTAAACATGGAAAAGATGTACAAGTTTTCTCTGTAGGTCAAGCAACGCATTACTAATAAAAAAGTGGAAAGATGAGAGTCGTTGGAGGATGAGGATGAGTTCACCGACATTTCTGGAAGAGGAACACACAGTTTGATCCACTGGAATCTCTCTGGTTTATAATAGTATCCTAATAAAGGCTCACCTCAGTCACTTCATACTTTCGTATTACAGAGAAAATGGATTTCTGTAGTAGCAGCTTTTTTGTAAATAACATACAGAGCTCTTTAAAAATCCACAAATGTGTTTTTTTCTGCGTATGGATGAATGTTTTCATAAAGTTTTTTAAAAAAGAAGAGAACTCACCTGTTTGCTTTGAGTCTTCCCTCGTCTGTCTCTCCACCTCAGAGGACTTGATGCGTCTGTATATCTTCGTCTTACACAAGCTCTCTTAGTCATTGTTCACATTAAATTCATTTGCACTTTATTTGCATTAAAAACCTCAGCCACAACTTCACAATGATTGATGATATTTAAACAACCTTGGCCTAAACTATAATAAACAGATCACAGAAGTTCAGATTAATGATCCTTTCTGATGTACCAGTCATGTAATCACTGGTTTGAAAGTAAAATCATTAAACTACAGGAATATTATTATGAATGGGCTGCAAGTGTTACTGTTAAGATTCGGGTTGGTGTGAGTGCTCTATCCTATAGAGGATCTTCGGGGGAGAGTTCTGACAGGCTGGCGCACCGGCAGCTGATTGGCTGGTGGACTTTTAAAGTCACTCATCGCTTGTTGGTCAGACTCTAACCAAAGTTTATGTTATGGATGTTTTAAGAGACTTCAAGTAATATTTTGTCTTCCCCCAGGAACCAAGTCCGGACATTGTGATCGCTTCCCGCCCGGACCGAACATCTCCGCCTGCCGCTCCCGGATCCCAGCCTTTCCCCTCCGCGCTGCCACCATCGGAGAGACAGTAAGTTTATCAAGATCTCTCAAACTCCGGTCCTTACTAACATCTCCCTTCTCCGAACAGAACCCGAGCGGACCTGGAAAGAACCTCCATTAAGCTCACACTGATCAGTATTCTCTGGTTTTATGTGTGAACTTGCATGTGGGTCAAGAAACTAAAATCCTGCATGACAGTTTATGATTTGCATCATCTGAAGGCGAACGAAGTGACCGGTTAACAAATAGATTCAAAACACTTTCTCACCAAACTCTCCTCTTCCTCTCCTTTAGGCCACTTTAAGACAGACATGGGTAACGTTCAAAGCATGGCTGAAAAGGTCAGCATGAATACTGAAGATTATAATTTTCTCATGTTAATTTTGAGCCACGTTTCAAGTATTTCCTGCAGGGAGTCACACGGTACATCTGTGCTTTTTATAGAAGTGTCAAAGAAAATTAAGTCATTTCTTATTTGATTGGTGAAATTCAAGGTGTCTGAAATAATGAAACTAATTTTTTTTTTAAAATGCCTTTCTTGGTGAGATTTTTCTTCATAAAAAAAAGGCCAAATTTCAACTAATGTATAATTTTGCAGGATTTTGGGGATTTTTATTTTTTACATTTTGCAATGTTACAATCATCAATTTCATTTGATTTGATTATGATTCTCTGTAAGAGACCAAAACAAAAATATAGAGATCTGAAGGGGAAGAAAATAGTACTTTTTTCACAAGTAAGAAACCTGGATAATTGAGTTTGTATTCAGCATCTTGTAGTAGAGCCACTTTTTGCTTTGATTACGGCTCCACTTCTTCATGATTTATGTCTCTTCCAGCTTTATTTGTCTAGGAAGTCATTTTTTGTCCCTCTTATGATTGCAAAAAGCTCCAGCTCTGTTAAACTGGACATGAACAGGATGCAAAAACACCAAATATTATCAAGTATTTTTAGTCTAATATCTCACTTGAAATAAGACAAAACTAACTTACAAGTATCTTTTCAGCAAGATGGAGGAACTTGTTTTAAGTAATTCCTTAATATTGATGAAAAAGTTCTAGTTCTATTGGCAGATAAATTTACTTGTAATAAAATTTCCCAGTGAGTGAAATAATCCTCTACATCTTGCTGATAAGTTACTTTTAAGCTAGTTGTGTCTTATTTGAAGTGTACTTAGATATTTGTGCTAGAAATACTTGGTAAGATTGTGTGATGATGCCCCTCTGGTGCGGCGCATAGGGGCGCAGCACCAGAGGGGGCGTCAAAACCCCGTCTGGAGGGGGCGGCGTGCCGATGATGCCTTCGGATACACTTCACCGCGCCTTTACGCTCCTTCACCTCGCGCACATGTAAATGTAAATGTAGCGAGTTTTACTTTTCACGTGTTGGAGCGATCGCATGTTTTCTACGCTCCTTCACCCTTTTGTACCTTCCTTTTTTTTTAGGTGGGGGGGGGGCGCCGATTTCTGTTTTCGCATCCACCTGAACAATATGTAGTTGCGCCCCTGACCCTGTGAAGGCATGTTCGTTGTAAAATGGTGAATTAAGTTACGCCTTACATGGGACATTTTTTTGTCCGGTGCTCAGGCCAGGCGGATCACCATGTTGTGGTATTTTTGTAAACGTACCAAACTCTTTCCATATCTTGATTCTGGACTGGAAAGCTGAATATAACTACATATATTCAGATATTTATTTAGGAAGTATTTTAGTAAACTGTGTATCTTTTTGCTTTTACTTCACATATATTTTGTTCTGTTGGTTGGTTCTCCCACTAAAATCCACTGAAGTGTTTCCTTTGGGTTAAAATCTAAAAATGTTCTTTTCCCTTTCAGATGTTGTCATTTTCTTCAGCCTCCAACGACTCGGTTCCTGATCCTCACGTTTCTGCTGGCCATCCTTACATCTGCTTCTACTCAGGCCCAGGACGGATCATCTTCACCGTTTTTAAAGTTGTTCATGTCGTCACCATCCTCCCTCTCTGCACCTTCATCCTCTACTTGGGCCTCCAACAGATGCAGAAGAAGACGCCGGCCTCCTCGGCTGCGACGAGTCACTGTGACGTCTTCACTTACCACATCGTTGCCATGGAGCTGATCGGGGTGATCGGGTTCTTCCTGAGTTTCTTTGGAAACTACATGGATGATACTAATGTCTTCATTTATGGTTTTATGGTATTTTCTGTCACTGCATATGGACAAATATTCTTCCACATGCTCACCAGTGTGGAGCGTTACCTGGCTGTCGTTCATCCCGTTTCCTACTTGGGCTTGAAGAACGAAAAAGGAGTCAGGATCAGAAACGTGACCGTCGTCTGGGTCTGGCTGCTCTGCTTTGCATCGATAGGTTATATGACGACTGGAAGTTACATCATCCTGGATACCTTCCTGAATGTTTTAGCCACAGCTGTCATCTTCTTCTGCTGTGTTTCTGTTCTGTTTGCTCTGATCCGTCCAGGTCCGGGCCGGAAGAGGCCTGACCAGTCGAAGCAGAGAGCTTTCTGTACCATTCTGGTCATACTGGGAGTCCTGATGGTCAGGTTGTCCTTCGGACTGGTTTGGGTTGGTTTGGATCTGACAGGAAATGCGGCTCGGTGTTTAACTATGGTTTGCACTACAGGGGTTAACCTTCCCAGCAGTCTGGTTTTACCTTTGCTGTTTCTACACAGAGCAGGAAAATTAGCATGTTGCATAAAATAAAACTAAAGATTAAATTAACCCTTTCATGCATGAATTATGATACTTTGTGACTGAATTTTTTTTCCCCTAATTAAAAAAAATAAAATAAAAAATTTAAGGCACAAAAAAAGGTAGGAAAAAAATTAATTTTTTTAGGTGATCAATTGTAATTTTCTCCAAATACAAAGTTATTTGAAAAACACATCAGTAATATTATTCTTTAGAGGTGAGCTGATGTCACAATATTATTATTTTTTTTTCTGCTAGAGTCGTCTACAGTATAGAGGAACCGGGTCGGTTGGCATGGTTTTTTTTTTTTTCTTTTTTGTCTGTCGGCCATATTGGATTTAACAAAAATAATTTACTGTATTTGCAGCTGATGGCCAGTAGTTGATTGTGTGTTTTATGATGCATTAGTGTCCACTTCAGTGGTCTGTGTGCTTTTATAACATACAAATCCACAAGAAGCACAAGAAAATAGCTTTTAGAAAGCTGTCCACTGTAGTCAATCAATCAAATTTTATTTGTATTGCACATTTCAGCAGCAAGGCATTCAAAGTGTTTTACATAATTAAAATAAAAACAGCATGCGACATTGAATAAACAGTGAGAAAGAGAGAGATTTTTAAAAAAGATAAAAACATAAACAGTGAGAGAGAAATAAAAAGAAATTAAAGTAAAGATAAAGAGATTAAAAAAATAAATAAAATAAAAACATTATCCACATGAGGACTTGCCCTTATGGGGTCTCCTCGAAAATGAGAGGCTCTACAAGCCTAGTGACCACTATGCATGAAAGGGTTAAATTTAAAGCTTTTTTCTTGGGTTGCATGTAGATCAGCTGCAGCTGATTGTTTTATCAGGTTAAGAAGCAGAAAACTGGGATCTTAAAAATGAAATATCAACTTATCTACAGTTAAACGAAAAGGCTTTTCCACCTTACTCTTTGTTTTTTAAAACTTTTAAAAGGTAGGTTCTGTTTCATAAAGAGTAGGATTTTGCAGCAAGTGTTTTGACTGTTAAAATCTGTTTTTCCAGGATTTTTCTTCACATATGAGAAAGTTTTTTTGTATTTTTTACATTAAACTTTAAAACTATTTAACTTCGAGGAAGAAAATCATCAGTTAGAAGAAGATCCTGTAAGCTGGATATGAATATCCAGCTTACACTCAGAACTGGATATTCTGAGTTACACTCAGAATATCAGTGGAATAAGTTCTGAGTTACACTCAGAACTTATTCCACTGCTTTGTTTAGCATTTTAACAATGCAAAACAAGTAAAATGCTAAACATTTTACTTGTTAAAATGTTTAGCATTTTAACAAGTAAATCCATAGATTATGTGCATTTACTTTACAAATATAACACAACCTGCTGACAGCTGCAGCTCTAACATGCTGATTCCTGCATTAGCCATCAACACGGGAAGCACCAGGTTTACAGTTTTGTGATAAATTGGTTCAGACGTTCTCTAGTAGTTACAATGAACAGAAACTGTTTACATCATGAAGATTGTTATACTATTTTAATAAAAAAAATGTTGAATAGATTTTTGTTTTCCCTGTCAGAAAGAAAAAATATTAGATGAGGCTTTTGTCGATCTTATTGTGAAAGATTCTGGTTGGCGCTGCACCAGCTGATATTGATTTGCAAGAAGGGGCACAATTACTTTTTTTTATTTATGCTAGATTTCAGTCGGTGTCACAACATTTCATGTCTGTTTGTGCAGCAGTATGTCAGTACATTTTATTACATCTTACTTAATTCATCTGACATTTATGGTTTGATTTCTTTTGCATGTATCGACTAGATGGATTGTTTCTTAGATCTGGAATTGAATTTTATGTCAATTTCACCTGTAGAAATGAATTTACTTGGACAATTTGTGGCGTTCAACATTTATTTTAACTGCTTTTTTGTGAATTGGTGGCGAATAAATAAATAAAATCTAATTAAACTGATTTCACCTGAAAATGTGCACTTGATTAACAACATGCTGAAGGTGTTTCCTGTTGCTTGGAGAAGGTTGAGGTCCTTCTCTTGAGCATCTTCAAACCAAAGCAGATTCGAGTGACTGGGAATGATGATTGTGAATTTAACCTGATCGAAACATTGAGTTTCCCGCCTCACCTGTTGATTTAAACGTAACTTTGAACAAAATGGAACCGAAACAAAGAAGTTCATTGATGAAGAATCAATTAAACTGAACTGATACAAACCAGAACAAATATAGATGCAGATACTTAAAAACCACTTCAATACATTCACCACTTTTACTTTCTGAAGACTTTATCTTCAAATTAAAGAACAGTCATTTAACTTTATGGTCATTGTACACAGAGTTGTGATATAACTGACAAAAACAACTTATAAACAAACTTATTTGTCCAACATGAATATTTAAACAGTTTTAAACAGGTAATGTAATCATTTTTTAAATTCCAAAATTAAACCAAAGGATGAAAATATGTAGAGCTCAATAAAATATAACTAAAAAATAAGTTATTCTTTATCATGGGGACTTTAGGACTTGGTTTATTAAGTTAGTTTTGGTGATTATGGTGAAACAGTTAATTTTAGAGTCTTTGATGTTGCTACAGTACTGACACTGACTCAGACATCTAGAGTTTTGCATTAGATTGATTAATTTAATATTATTGTTACTAAATTAACTCAAACTGCTGCAGCTTGGTATTGGAAATACCAAATTGGTATGAAAAACACCAAACTATATCAGACAGTGAAGTGAATCTTACTGTGATTTTACAGGATCAATCTATCTCTGACATACTGTGAGGACAGAGTGGATTTCACAGAAAGCCATGGAGTAATTTAATTTCAAAGGCCTTTTCAGGAGCCGTGGCATTGTTACATTTTTCTACACCTAAAATTTGAAAAGTTGCATATTTACATTTATGTCCAACTACAACTAAAGTCACAAATTTGTGACGTTTGGAACAACAATAATCAGGTTTAAGCTGTTGGTTTATTACTCCTGTACGTTTTACACAAAAGTAACAGAAATCAGGACAAACGGTAAAAGTTTGTTGTATGATCAACAACATGCATGCTTTAGGTTTTAATCATTTAGGATTTTGATTTTAGGCAAGCAAACTTTCCTGCCTTTTGCAGAAACAGGGCAGGTAAAACCAGACTGCTCGGCAAATTTAACCAAACATCCATCGTCAGCATCACACAGTTCAGGTTTATACCAAGCACAATCATTGCAGCCCAAGCTATAGCGAAGGAAAACCGCATTGCCAATGCTCCCGTTATGGCCAGGATGGTGTGCAACGCCCTCTGCTTCATTTGGTCAACCTTCTTCTTGCCCTTCAGTTGTTTAGCTGGACCTGGACTGATCAGAGCACGGAGAACAGAGAGGGTGCAGTAGAAAATCGAGGCTAAGGACAGGATCAGAACGCAGAAGTTTAAAACGATGAAAACAAGACCAGCTGTCATCAAAGCCGTCTCTACAACGCCAAGCAGCCAAACGCAACAAACACAGACATGTCTGATTCTGAATCCTCTGTCCTTTTTCAGGCTCATATAGGTGAGAGGATGAAGAACGGCCAGGTAGCGATCCACACACGTCAGCACGTGGAAATAGACCCCCCCAAAAGAAGAGAAAGACAAAATGTTGACCGCTGTGATTAACACACTCCGGTTGCTGTACGGAGCACAAAGACCCAGAACACATCCAAACACACTCATCAGCTCTATGACCGCTAAGTGGAAGGTGAAGAAGTCCGAGTGGCTCATGGACGATGCGGAGCGATTGTTTCGCCACCACTGCTGGATTCCACTGTGAAGGATGAAGAGGCAGAGCGGGAAGAGGAGGAAGATGTTGGTGATATTAAATGAAGTGAAGATGAGAACGCCGGGTGTGGTGAAGAAGCAGGTGAAGTCTGAGAAGACGGACGCCTGAGCAGAGGAGGCATTGGGACGTGATGGGAGGTTTTCCATCGTCCCTGCAGGAAACACAGCAGGAAACGGTTCAGGATGCGTTTAGTCAAACTCTGGTGTCAAACTCGAGGCTCGGGGGCCAAATCCAGCCCGCCGTAGCTTTTTATGTGGCCCTCTAGATTCTAGACTAAACACTAAATATGCTTAACCATCATGTTATCAATCAAATCAATGCAGCTTTTATGTGTTTACTGCCAAATTCTATCAATCAGCTCCTCCAGTTTGAAGTTCGCATTAAATCATCAAATCCTCTCATGTTTTTACATGAATTTTACTCCAAAACTGTCAAAATCTTTCTCACTTGTACTGAACAGCTGCCTCAGACTTTACTGATGTCAGATTATAGTCTATGATCTATACAAAAAGTAATAAAGCTCACATTTATAATATTAAAGAAATAATGTAAAATCTGCAGCTTTTCTCTAAAGTAATGGAAAAACTTAATCCTGGAACTTTAATGTTTTGTATTCAATAATAATAATGAAATACAACATTAGTACCAACCTTAGCTGTTTACTTCCTAGCTTTGTCTCTGTGCGTCTTCCTTTGACGCTCAGGTTTTACTGCACCAACTTTACCTCCGTCTGTTCAGTGATTATTCAAATGTCTTTGATTTGCATTCAAAACAGATTTTCACTGTTAAAATGTGTGACAAGGAACAGATTGGATCAGTACACATGGATACTTCATTGTAACAATGGTGGCCAATTGGATTATCCTGTTTTAATCTTCTGCTGTAAATTTGATCAAATTAAAAGTATTGGTGATCTGTCAGTAATCAGAACAGCAGATTTAATGCAGCATCATGTTAACGTCACTCGGCTAATGAAAGGTGCTGCTTTGCAGTCGGATCATGTTTACGTTCAGATAAATGTTTAAAATCTGAACCTCAGATTTACTGATTTTTTTATTTTTTTTATTTGTAGAGCAGATTCTGTCCTGGTCTAAATAAACTAATGGATGAAATAATAAATACAAAAACAGGTTTTAACATTTTTCTGTTTTTTTTTATTTGATGATGAATATTGGGTATTGATGTAATTCACAGAAAGACTTCAATG